CCCCCCAATCTTTCTGCCTCTACCTCTATTCTCCAACTTGAACTCTTCAATATTTTCTCTTGGGATAAGAACTAAAATTTGGACGATAGCCTACAAGGGCCAGTATGGTTTCACCTGCAGCTATCTCTCTAGTTTCAACTCTTAGCACTCAACTCTTCAATTGCTAGCTTCCTTTTACCTCCTTGAATGTACCATTTTCACTCATCCCGGAAACCTGCACATATGCTGCTTCTGCTGTTGAGAGTGCTCTCTCCCCTCATCCACTCTGTCTTTGCCAACTTCTATGCAATCTTTAGATCTCAGTGGAAACATCACTTCTTCAGAGAACTATTTCCCCTCAACCACCATGACTACATTATGATGCCATTATATATTTCCATAACACTGTGTGCATTACTTCCCAGCTCTTACCAATGTCTGTTAATGCACTGGATATAGAAAATGCCAAAACAATATTTTTCCAATCAATCCTTGCCCTGGGAGCTTTGACTTGCCAAAAAAGGAATGATACTTTGCTGCCTATTTGGAATCTAGTGTCAGCTGCCACCTGCCTACTTCTTTTTTGCGAAGAAAAAAAAAAGTCAACAGTACAAAAATTACTATTTTTTTTCTAAATTTATGTCTATACAGCGTCATAAGGACATTTAAGCAACTCTATAAAGAGGTACATGTGGAAAGCAACTGAGTCTTCCTACCAATAGCCAGCAAGAGGCCTTCTCCCAATAGTCATGTGTTATAGGTTAAATTGTGTTCCTGCAAAAAAAGATATGCTGGAATCTTAACCTCCAGTACCTAAGAACGTGACCTTATTTGAAGATAGAGTCCTTACAGAAGTAATCAAGTTAAAATGAGATCATTAAGGCGAGCCCTAGTCTAATATGACTGATGTCCTTACAAAAAAAAAAGGGGGAGGGGGGACATTTGGACACAGAGACATTCCCACAGGGAGAATATCATGTGGTGATGAAGACAGAGATCAGGGTGACACAACTACAAGCCAAGGAATGTCAAATATTGCCATCAAACCACCAAAATCTAGGAGAGAGGCACAGAAGATTCTCCTTTGCATGTCTCAGAAAGAGTTAACCCTGCTGATACCTTAATCTTGTACTTCTGGCCTCCAGAACTGTGAGACAATAAATTTCTGTTGTTCTAAACCACCTAGTTTCGGGTACTTTATTCTAGCAGTTCTAGAAATAAATACGTTATATGAATGAACCACTTTGGAAGCGGGTCACCCAGTCCCAACCAAGCTTTCAGACGACTGCTGTCCTGACCATTATCTTGACGGCCACTTCTTGAGACACCTTGAGCCAAAACTACCAGCTAAGCTGCTCCTGAATTCCCAGCCCACCCACGAAAAATATGAGATTAGTGTTTGATGTTTTAACTTCTGTTTTGGACCTAATTGTGAT